AGTCAACTGTGCTGTGCCCGTCAGCCTGGGTGTAACGAGGTCATCTTTCATCGTGACCCACGATCTCATTCGTAGCTGCTGTACATGTACACCAGAGAGATGCGAGAGATGCGCAAAGACGTCAGATGCCCACTCCGCCCTCACCCACAACCAACCACGCAGACCCTCGTCATCAGGCAGCCAGAGCCATGCTGACAGTCACGTGGGGTGGCCGCTGCCAATGGTCGATCTTTGATAAGATAACAATTTGAACATGTCAGATAAGATAACAGAAAAAAGTTCAAGATTCCAACCGCTCATTGACCTCGACAACTGCGACGTGCGACGTGCTTGCCCCTCCCCCGACCCGACCTTCGCGGCCCTCATTGACCACGTCGCAGTCAACGAACGCCTTGCCACGCGAGCTCCTACCCTTGCGTTTCACAATGGCACTCTCAGCGACGGTCACAGAGAAGAAGAAGGACCCCAGAGACTGGCGCGGTCTTACCCCTCCCCTGGCAGAGTCAGTGTCCCTTCGTCACCTGTATCGCTTGTTCTTGGTAGATGCCAGAAACTAACACGCAGTATCCAGATGGATCCTTGATTTCGTCGCAAGTCAGGGCTATCAGCGCATGACGCCTGTTCAGGCCGCCACCATTCCCCAGTTTCTCGGCAACAAGGACGTCGTCGTCGAAGCTGTCACCGGCAGCGGCAAGACCCTGGCGTTTCTGCTCCCCATCGTGCAGAAGCTGCTTCGCCTCTCCGAACCCACTAAGCGCGGCCATGTCTTCGCCATTATCGTCTCACCAACTCGCGAGCTTGCTCAGCAGATTTACAACGTTCTCATGGGCCTCATCGCCTTCCACACTGCCTCCTCGGAGATGCTTCCCTTCCTGAAGGAGGATGACAAGCGCCCCGACTCAGCCGTGCCCATCGTCGTGCCCCAGCTGCTCGTCGGAGGCACGACCACGACGCAGCAAGATCTCAGCTTCTTCGTGCGCCACTCTCCCAACATTCTCGTCTCCACGCCCGGCCGCCTCGTCGAGCTTCTCGCTTCGCCCCACGTCCACTGCAGCCAGTCCACCTTTGACATGCTCGTCCTCGACGAAGCCGATCGCATCCTCGACATGGGCTTCCGCCAGGACCTCCAGCGCATCCTCTCCCACCTGCCCAAGCAGCGCCGAACCGGTCTCTTCAGCGCCTCCGTCTCCGAGGCCGTCTCCCAGATCATCACCGTCGGCCTGCGCAACCCCGTCAAGATCGCTGTGCGCGTCAAGTCCCTGCGCGACGGCAACATCATCGAGGACCGCAAGATTCCCGCGTCTCTGCAAATGGCATACCTCCTCACGCCGGCCTCCCAGAAGATGCCGGCCCTCGCCCAGATCCTCGACAAGCTCAACCCGCGCCCCCAGCGCAGCATCATCTTCCTCTCCACCTGCGCCGCCGTCGACTACTTCCAGCACATCCTCCCCGACATGCTCCCCGCCGGCTTCTCCCTCGTGCCCCTGCACGGCAAGCTGCCGCCCAAGGTGCGCGAAAAGTCCTTCAAACGCTTCCTCACGTCCGTCTCCCCTTCGGTCCTCCTCTGCACCGACCTCGCCGCCCGCGATCTCGACATCCCCTCAGGTGA